AATTTTAAAGTAATAGAACAAAAATAATAATAAATGAAAAAACAAAAGATGGGAATACAAAAGAATAAATGAATAAAAAAGAGATAAAAGAAATAATAATTTTTAATGGTGTTACTGTCTAAGTTTAAAGTTTTAAAACCCAATGTAAAGTTACAAAGTTTTATGTGATTATTTGAAAAAACATTTATTTATTAGATAATAGATACATACTTTATAAATGTAATAGGGGTTACAATTTAAAATTACTTTATATTTCTAATATATAATATTCGTTGTCACATAACATGCACAATTTTAAGAGTCGTGTTTAATACATGAATAAAAATAAATTATTATTTTGAAGATATATTAGTGGGTGTCATGAGTGTAATTGGTGATTTATTGATAATTGACATGCATGATTCCAAGAATAATATTTTATACATGAGAAAGAGGACAAAATCAACTGTGTTTGATTTATCTATTTTTTTAAAATTTAAAGTTAATGATATATTATTTAGTTTTTTATCCATTTTTAATTATAATCCATAAAATTTATATATATATATATATATATATATATATATATATATATATATATATATATATATATATATATATATATATATATATATATATATATATATATATATATATATATATATATATATATATATATATATATAAGAAATAAAGGATGGAGGAACCATGCATATATCATTTACGGAAAGACTTGTCTTTATTAAATCAGTTGCTCAAACTTTACCAACCTACAAAATAATTACTTTTCTACTCCCTAAGGCCATATGTACAGAGATAATGACATGTAAATTTTGATGGGGATCTATAGGCTTTGAGAATAAAATACATCGAACCCATTGATAATTTTTTGATCTTCCTAAAGAAATGCGTGAGTTAGATTTAAATATTTACATGCTATCTAAATAAGGTTTGAGGTTACTTATTAAACTTGACTAATTTGCGGCTAAATTCTTCAAGCTAAATACTATTTAAAGAATAATTTTATTCAGGTTAAACTAGGAAGAACTCCTAGTTACTGATGGAGGAGAATTTTCTCTAATAATTGATTCTTTAACAGAGATGTTTTTTAGACGATATGAAATAGTATTACCATTAGAATATAGGCAATTGGATTCCTAATTAATATGGATTTAAAGTCTAACACAAAAATCCTTGGATCCGAAGCTAAGGGACTTTATTAATATGGAAAATAGGTGTTGGGACCACAACATTCTAAGTAAAATTTTCTTTCCATTTTATATTAAGACTATTAAGAAATTCCATACTCTTAACCTTGAAGAAGAAGATCAATTATGTTGTTGGCCACTAAGGAAAAGAAAAACAATGTCAAATATGGATAACATCTCATGAAATAGTGGAATAATTTAAAAGGGCCTATGAGATAAAAAAAACATTCAAATGAGTTTTGGAAAAAATAATTAGAATAATAGGGCTTCTTTGTAGAAGAATAACCTAATATGGAGAATTATGAAAAGGATCATTCCAGTTAAGAAAATAATATCATTAAATACATGAAATGTTAACCCTTTTTCCTGATTGCAACAACAAGATAAATTCTATTGATCTTTGTTTAAAAAAATGTGATAAAGTGGCACATATTTGGATTGGATCCCCTCTAAATATGAACTTTAAATCTTGCACAAAATTATTTACAAATTGGTTTAACTAAAATTATCATAGAAGAGTAATAAAAAAATGATCATAGAAGAGTAATAAAAAAATGATCATAGAAGATGATAATAATACTCTAGAAATTATAATTAATCTTATAGATCAAATTTAGATAGCTAAGAATTATTTTCTTAAATATAAAGAAGTACCCGACAATGACATGGAGATCATGGATAAAGCCATGCAAGGTTTTTAATAGTTCCAAAAAGCTCACCAGGTTTCTCAGTTGAACACTACTCACATTATCATCGACTTAAACAATCATAGTAAGAGGAACAACAAACAAAAAAAGAAGGATAAAAATCAAATCAACAAGAGACAAACACAACAAAATCATAGCATTAACAAGTGTATTCCTCCTATAAAGTGAGGTACAATTATAATATTGACTCAAAAATATATTGTGAAGGTCTCTAAGATTGGGAATGGTGATAAAATAAAAGAAAAGTTATGATGCTACATATGTTATCAATTTCCGATAGTGACGCGACACATTCATCCCCAAAAATCCATGTTTGAGGAATTATTTTTAAGAAGTTTATTGAGAAATTCTTTAAAAGATATCTGATAAAGGAGAAAATGGATCTTCAAGATCAACTCTCATATCAAACGATTAAAAAAGATGCAGAAAGAAAGTATTTAATTCCTAACTTCATATTTGTCAATAGGGGGAGAAATTTCTCTTCATAAGTTTCTAATATTTTAAGGTAAAACACTTTATAGAAAAATAAACTCTGAAAATTATAGTTATTTCTCTAACAAGTTTCTATTTGATAGCCTAGTCTATTTGGACGATTTAATCACTAATCGAATGTTTGATAAATAAAGTTTGTACGGGGTGTTTGGGGTTTATGAATCTAAATAAGAGGAGGTAAAAAAACAAAATTTGAGAATATAATCCTTAAGGGACAAGCGAGTTAAAAGAAGAAGAAAAATCAACTTTTAATTTATTAAATCTAAGGATTAATCGATTAGGCCATTTAAATTTCAAACATAGCGTCAATTAATCAATTAAACATTAAAGATTAATAGATTAAAAGATCCTAGATTTTCTCATTGCAATAATCAATCAATGATAATCAATTGTCATTATTGCTTTAATTTTTTTAAATCCCTTCTAATCAATTAAAATCAGCCTATAAAGAGGTAACCCAATTTTTCTTCTTCTCTTCCCTCTCTCAATCCTTATCTTCATCTTATTGTTCTTGTTTGCTTGTTTATTTTCTAGTTTCTGTCTTAAAGTGTTATATCAAGCCTAATCAAAAGAAGATTCAGGGTTCTGATGAAATAGGGTAAAGTCAAAGATAATGTGGTAAGGAACCAAAAGATTCAAAGTTGTGAAAGAGAGAAAATGTGAAAGCTTGTTGAGCCTGTGTAGAGTGATCTTTCTCTGTAAATCTATAAGACTATTTATCTAATTTACTAAAGAAAATCACACACACACACTTTCAGTTGTTTGGAAAACGTCTCTCGTTTTATTAAAATCACCGGAAAATATTTTTGTGCTATCTAGTTAGCTACTAGCTCTAAAAATTCTTTATGAATGTAAATTATATTCTATAATTGATCAGCCCGTAGATCTAATTTATATCTCTTTTTCTAACGCCTCATAATCTACTATTATGTCTTATAATATACTAGTAAAAACTCTTAGGAAAACCTCCCATTTTTGTACTTGATAATTGATTACATGATTGGATTAATCGATTATCATCCTTAAAAAAGCTCATGGATTATTTTCATATTTGAACCATCTTTTGTCATATAAATAGAGGGATCATTTCTCATTTTTAACACAACATAAATCTTAATATAAATATACACTACGCCAAATAAGCTATTTAATAGCGCTTTTTTTTGTTTTTGATAGCGCTTAAAAGTGCTATTAACCGCGCCACTATTGTAAATATTTCTTATTTAATAGCACTTTAAAAGCGCTATTAAAGTACCAATTTATAATAGCGTTTTAATTAAAGTGCTATCAAAGTCAGTATTTTGCATGTTTTTTGTTTGTTTTTTTATAGCACTCTAAACAAAAAGCGCTAATATATAACATATGTTTGATAGCGCTTTCAAATAAAGTGCTAATAAATGGTACATATTTGGTACAATATTTTTAATAAGTACAGTACAATATTTTTTCTTACACAATCATTTTTTTTGGTGTAAATATAAAATAACTATATTCAATTCAACACAAATAACGCTTTAAGTTACTCATTGCATATATATTATGATCCATCAAATACCAAATAACATTTTAAATTACCAAATCCTATTGTTTCCAAATATCATAACATATAGAATATTAAGAGGGCGTTTGCATAGCCAAATTTGTAGATGCCCATCTATGAGTACTTCAATCCAAATCCAAAAACATACAATCAAATTCTCTAAACAAAACACCAAAAAAATAAGAAAGGATAACAAAACAATCCCATGTAGTAACCACCTTCATGATCCAAAAGCGTTGAACTCATAGATACAATCACTAATTAGGCAAAATAATTGATTCTTGTTTTCCTGTATCATAGAAGGAATATTGATTATGTATTGTACAATAAAAACTAATTCAACATATAAAGAATAATCAAACATTTAATATGGGTCTAACAAGAAGCGCATAAAATAAGGAATGATTATTATAAACTAATAACAATAAATCGATATAACTAATGCAATAATTGAACTAATTAAGTCTAACAAGAACATGACTTGTAAATATATAGACCACAATTTCCATTATTAGATGCATATAAACACTAAACAGAATATAATTCAAATTCTCAAAATATACATAAACACTTAATTGTGTGTAACTTTCTTTAGATGTAAGGCACTTAACATATAGGTTACACTCATAAAACAATAAGAAAAGTATCAATGTTATGTAACAAACGAACTATGTTTAAAACAATAGCTTATGGTTCTGCACAACGTATAACCCAAAGCTTAAAAACAAGTAATTGAGAAACGCATAATGAAAAAAGAGAAACATATAATATAAACTAGAAATTGTTAAACTTGGGATTATCAATAAAAGATGAGAGAAAAGTAGTATTGATAAATCCTAACCTACCTTGTAACAAACACAAAAATTCAAAAACAAATGAACTATGAATCAATTTTAAAAGAAAATGAATCAATTTTCACTCTTTTCTCTTATCTTACACTTCTTAAGTGTGCTATGAGATTATCCAGTTCCAAAAATAAATTCAAGTATGAAAATATAGAGACACAAGAAAAATAACACTCCCCAAAACATGGCAAAAATACACAATCCCTAAGAATAATATTGAAAAAGAAAATTAATGCAACTTATCCAAAAAGCATATTAGAAACCTTCTACTTTGTCGGTGAACCATCCAGAAAGATGAGACATGATTTGATAAAGCAGGATCCAGCACAAGAATTGGCTCCTGAACCAAGGAGTAAAAGCAAGATGATGAAGAAGAATCAACAAAATTGCAAAACACTAGCAGTTTCAAATATAAATATCATAATCGAACTATAGTAATACATGCAGAGCTAGATTAGTTATCACCTTTTCCATAACCCAACCATTCTTCACAGACAAAGTAAGGTACAAAGGTTTCTGAATATCAACTGAATATATATGTACACTCTGACGAGAAGAAACGATACCACGATGTCGCTCGACACCGTTTCCTTCCTTTGTTTTCTCTAAGATTGAAAATTCAGCAGGACAAGGAAGCCGATTCTCCAATTTCATAGGAGAGTTAATAGATATTCTCCAATCATATACAGGGGTATTTAGTTCAGTATTAAGGACTGAGGCATCTGTACCCACACTAAACCATATCTGTTTACTTCCACTGCTAGGATTGCAGCACATAAGTATATCCTTTTTCTCAATCTCATTTAGCTTTAAAGAACAATTTGATGTCACAGAATTTGGTCTACAACCTGGATCTAATTGTTGATCTTTGCTAAATATATAGGTTGAACCAACAGCTACAGCATGACTCCATGAATATGAGGGCTGAGAATTATCAAAGCTAGGTCGAATTTGCAAATGTTGTTCAGAATCCTTTGACGTACTTCTCCATGATAAAACAGTAGATGCTCCAGGGTGCACAGTACTTACTCCACTTTGCAAGGATTCTACACCATGTTCAGAAGTGGGTTGTCTAGTACGAATCCAACGCCTTCGACGGACAACATCAGAGGCCGATTTTGTTGAAGATTTTGATGAAGTAGGAGGCCATCTTAAATTTTTAATGTCCGATTCATATGCCCAGCCTTCCTTGTCAACATGCTGAAACTTTTCTATGGACCAACCTGAAGCCCATTTCCACCCAGGAGGAAGTGGAGGTTCGAAGAAGTCCTGCAAAAATGATACAGGTGAATGAGGATCTTAATAAGTGCAATAGGTACGGAAGTTAACAGTTGATAACAGAAAACCTATAAGTATACCAACCTTTGATGAGGACGAGAAGTCCCTTGTGCTCCAGTGTCTAGGATTATCAGGGTGTATATCTGGCCAACTGTTACCCCAACCTGATGATGGCTGATAATACTGATTTTGAAAGACTTCTTCTACCACTGTATTTGAAGAGCTTGTTCCAAGTGAGGGCTCATGACCACTAGAAGCATGACACGTTGAAATATTCAATATAACATCAGAATCATTCACTACTCCGACAAGACCCCTAAAAATTACATGTTTCTTCCCATTTTTCATCACAACTTCCATACCGATATATTCCTTCTTTAAGAATTTTGGACCAACTGTAAGTGGAAGTAATGATCGGACACTCTCCCACTCACCCCCTGGGTCAAGACCCACCCAAAAACCTATGTCTCTATCACTAGTATTGTCACTTTCCAATTCTTTTTGAAGATTAGCAATAGTATTTCTTTCAAAATAAGAAGTTGAAACAACGAGGGAGCTTTCATGCATGAATTCAACATTGCTTTGCTGACCCTGCAAAAGTGAACAAGAAAGAAGCAAAATAATTTATAGAAATTAATAATTTAGCAGATGGACAAATCTGGTGAAAACAATGTAGTGAATGGTAACTGGTAACTAACCATTCTAGTAAATGGATACGATCTAATATTTTGAGCATCATAGGGTTGATAAAACATTCTCACTGAAGCAACTTTCTTAAGAGTATTAGCACCATGTCCAACAGAAAAGGAAAGTGCACCCACGACATCCCCTGCAAGATGAATAGTTGGAGGGGAAAAAACAAAAACATGCTGAGTTGCAAAAAAAGAAACTCCAATGTAGAAACAATATATGATAATGAACCAATAGAAGAAAATGTGACATAAGAAGTTTGATCTAAGAGATTTAACTAATCAGATTGCCTATAAATTTGTTTAAAATAAACAAAGCCTCGCTGAAAAGACATCCAATTCCAAACTATATGTGATGTTTTACTAAATAAGGCCATTCAAGAAATACCTTTCCCAGCTTTTGCAGCAAGATTGGTAACCTCTATTTCCAACTTAGCAGGGGCCTGTAGCATTTTATCAATGTGACATTAAATGCAGCAAACTTCTACGGATGTAAAAAGTTTCAAATTGAAGAATGTAGAACGTGTTGATATATAAGTTGGGGAAATTGCAGATCATGCAAAAAAACCAAAGAAAAATTAAATTTCAATGGAGCTCGTATTACATTTCAAAGATTAAATAGGTCCAAATTATGCTATTAAATAAACACACAGCAAGAAAAAATAAATAAAAAAGGAGAAACCATAAGTTGAATGTAAAATAAAAATAGCATGAATGAGCTTTCTTTAGCCTATGCAAAAATGTCACTATGCCAGACCATGACATTCATATTTTGAGAGCACAGTTTAGTTTCTGCATAATGTCATTCTAAAAGTTATTTCAGTCAATGAGCATTATAGGAACAAAATAGAAGAAAAACATAAACCTAATCAACTAATGACGCTCATCACACATAACCAATCAATTACCTTTCGGGGAACTTCAAATATAAAAAGTTCATTCCACTTTACATTGCCTTCATCCTGATTATTAATTCTTGATATTATAGGCTTGACACACTTTGTTCTTGCACTCTGAGGAAAAAGCCTTTGCTGCTCGGATGCCTGACTGTCAACAACAAGACGCAAGGCACAGAAGAAGTTATGGCTGTTACCATCATCAATTATAGATAAACCCTGCAAAATTATAAATGAATTGATTTCAATGTTATGGGTAGGAAGGAAAAGCAGGAATCCAATTAGAATTCTGTATAACCATTTGCATCATGACCTTTGCTTCCAGTATCTGTACAGCGACATAGTAACGTGCTTCTCTGGATTCATCTGCAACATTTAACCTATTTGAAAATCGTGGAGGAGGAATCCACACAGAAACACAGTCTCCGTGATGTAGCATGTCAACTGTATCTACATCATGCTCAACTTTTTTGACAAAGATGTCACACCCAAGTTTATTTTCTACTATCACAGTCTGCAAGTCATCCTCATCTAGAGCAGAAAAAGTTGTACTTTCTCCTTTGTGTTGACCACCAGCCTCCTGCAAACCAAACAGTTAGCAAGACTTTTAAGAGTCACACGTCCGTTAATATATGATTTGATCATGTGTTTATAAGTGGGATCAATCATCACCCAATAAACTGGTTTTGTAGGAATGAGTTAGTTCAACCACATTTCTAAACAAAACTATTTACCATATACATAGCTAGGGAGTAGGACTTGTGTGAGATAAGTGGTTAATTAAGTTGTTTATGCAAACACATCCTTAGTTGTTTTTATATTCTAAACAAGCAATCTTTAACTTCCACCCTCACAAAATCCAAGTAAACGAACTAAGTTCTTATGATGAGTGAGACCAATTACATTCAGTTCATTCCTGAATTCTCTATGAGCTTGATCCAACAAAAAATTGTTCAACTTTTTCACAGCCACACGAGTTTCGGAACATGTGTTGTTGTTGACGACTCCTTCATAAACTATACCAAAAGCTCCCCTTCCTAGCTCTTTGTCAAATCCATTAGTAGCTTCTTCAAGCTCTTCGTAAGTGAAGCAACGCAAATTGGTTTCAACACTAGTTTCACTTCTGCTAACTCTTCTAAGCTTCTTCTTGTACTGAACAATCATGGAGGTGCTGAAACATATTGCTACAAGCAATACAGCATTGAGAATAGCAGAGCTACCAAAAAGCACAGAAACAACCAAAACCAACGTTTCCCTATTATTATTCTTGTTCGCAATGATTGGAAATGGAGGAAAATCAAAGGACTGGAGGGAGGTATTATCTTTTCTCACTTTCAAGAAAGCCTTAGCACCATTAAGTGTTGGATCAACTTTCCCATTTGAGAGTGGTAACTTCTTCATCCAACAACTATCACCTAACCTGAAAATAGCCACAGAACACATGCAATCTCCCATACAAGCTTCTTTACACAGTTCTTCAGTAAAAGGCCTTTGAAGCACAGAATCTGAGAAAGGCCAATCAGTGTTAATCAAAACCTCAAAGTCATAGAGATCCTTTCTTTTACTCAGTTCATCTTCTTCACATCCTTGTATAAAATCTGGCTTGCAGCTACCATATGGATCATCAGGATTAACTAGAGAGTAACTTTTTGGACACTGACACGTTGGTCTCTTATCCTGTCCCAAAGTGCAGAAGCTATTGTATCCACAAACACCACTACCAGAACTGACAGTATAAAGACATATATTATCAGGTTTGGACCATACTGTGGTCCAACCTTCACTCTTTGTTGAACTCTTTGGGTGCTTGTAAGCAAATTATCATAATACTATTCCCTAAAAGAAATAAGCAATTTGAAAGGGAAACTATTAGAGGAGAATGAATAGTGTTATTGATGATTCCTCTTTCTCTAAGGTTGATAGAAAACCATGGTCAGAACATTTATCAAACACTTTGCGGGCAAACCAGAAGAGATAATGAGATTGATACAAGTGGGGCAAAGCTATAGAGAAGAGAAAAGAACGGAGAACGGTGGTGGATGACTTACCGGGAGTGACACGGATTGAGAGCGGCGGAGATCGGAAAGCTCAGAGACGATTGACAAGGAGGTGTCTCCAGTCTTGTTGTTTGGACGTGCAACTGTCAAAATCACCCATAAAGTTTTCTTAAATAGCACCAACACCCAATTTTCTGAAAATGTGTTTTTTTTATCAATTAATTAATTAATTCATTATTATATATAACATAGCGCTTTTTAATAAATGCTATTATATAGGTAGTCAAATAATAGCGTTTTATACAAAATGCTATCTTAAAGAAGTTTAATAATAGCGTTCTGGTACAAAGTGCTATCAAAATTACATAGTCTGTATTATATAATAGCGCCCGATTAAAAAGTGCTATTATAAATGTGTTTTTTCCATTTTAATAACATTTTTTTTAAAAGTGCTATTAAATTAGGTGATACAAAAAATCATTTTTGGCGTAGTGATATTTCTTCCACTCTCCCCTCTTTCTCTTTATTTTCTCACTTTTGTCTTAATGCTTTTGAGAGTGAAGTTTTATATCTAAGAGATGTTCTTGTCTGGTGCAAGGGAAATATTGTAGATTCTCATTGAGAATTTTTTTGTTTAAGTTGTGAAGTAAACCAAGTAAAAATATCTTGTTTCATCATTGAGATAAGAATTTTAAAACCTTTGTTTGGTTGGGGAGGTCCCCGTAATTAAAACTGTTGTTCAGTTTGTGAGCTTAGCCTGATATTAAAAGCTCTCTTTGGTTTTAGATTGTCTTTGTGGTAAAATCTATTGGTTGGGATGTATCTTTAGTTAAAAATCTATGTTTGATTAGGAAGTAATCCTTTCTAAAACTCTAATTTATATATAAGGAGGTTCGTTAACAAAATCAGTCAAACTCTCAAGAAGGAGTTCTTGGAAAGAGGAGTAGATCACATTCTGTTCTTCCTTTTTTTTGTGCGTGATGTTACACCTGTTCTCTAGACATTTGCTCTGAAATATCTTTTGGGAGAATTTTTTGTTCTTTTTTCTTCTGAAGTTGTGTAAGTTGTCATACTCGATGTTTTGACATCATATATGTGAGATTTTGTATGAGTGAACTTTTTCTCTCTAAATGTGTTTGGAGAATTTATATCTCTATTTTGTGTGAGGTTGTGTTCTATACAAAAATTGATGTGTATGCCTTTGATGTGGGAACTAGTATAGTTCCTATTTTTTGTGCATTATTATGAAGATGTTTCTTTGAAATAATGTTGATGTTTTATCTCTTTTTTTATTATTTGTCTTTGGATGTTTTGTGCAAAGATTGTTTTAACCAAAATATTGTCGAAAGAAGAGCTTGTTAGGTTTTGGTTTGTTGGCTGCATTTTGGTAAAACAATATGTTCAGCATGATCTTGGATCAAATTTTGTGACATGTTGCTACGATATTACAACTTGTATTGTTTTTGTTTTCGAAGATTTGTTTATGGTATTTTTATGAGATTTGATTTTGGTTTAGTGTGGATCAAGCTGCATATTTGAAGATTGATTCTATGAAGATTTGTTTCAAGATGGAGATATTCGAAGATTCGATTCTCAGGATTGGATATAAAAACATTATGCCTTGAATCATAAGATTTTACTTGATTTTATTTTATCTTATCTGATTTGCGGGATGTTTAAACAAAATTTATTATCCAAGCTCAAACGTTCTCTTGTCTATTGTAGTGGTAAAAAGTTAAGACTAAGCCATTGGTTGACTTAACTCACAAAGTTAAAGTCATCAATGCCCTTTATTGTTCCAAAGAAAATGGGAAAATAGAGAATAAAACCCAAAGTAAAATAGAGATCAAGGTAAGGGGGTTGGTTATGCAAAGGGAGGGTGTTAGCATCCTAAATAACTATGATACTTCGCAGAAACCTCTTTGAAAATATGTGTATTTTGGCTAAAATGAAATATTTACAAAATAGATTGTGGAGATGAGAAAAGAAGTGTATTTTATAATTTTTGATTTTATAAAGCTTCGAATGAGCTCTAGGCCTACATACCAACAATGTGTAATGTTGAAATCAAAAACCCATGTAGTTAGGGTAAAAAAGACCAAAATTGTTTCGTTTGTTAATTTTAAAGAAAAGGTTTTAAAGTTGAAAAGGCAAAGTGGCAAAAAGGTCTGATTTTGTTTTGTATTTTTTTAGGGATTAAAGAAAGAATTCATATCTTGATTAAGACTAATTGATGACTTAATTAAGAAAAGAGTTTTGAAAATGCATGGACCTAAATCCAATTTTTTTATGAAAGCGGTTCAAATTTGAAAACAAGAATCCTTTGAAAAAAGAGGGAGAAGATTGGAGGAGTTGAAGAGACTATCCTAAAGCAAAAAGTAAAATATAGGGTATGGAAAAGTCTAACCAAACAAGAAGTCAACACTTGACATAATAAAGTCAATATAGAATTCTCATCCTTTGGATTAAAGCCACAAGTACCAAATAGACTAAGAGCATACCAATCATCATGTGAAAATAAATCACAAGTAAGGAAGTATCAAAGAAACCCAAGGTTTTAAAACCACAAATCAAAGAAATATTGATCCATGTGCCATATAGATCACTTAAGCCTAATAAAACAACACCTACATATAGAATATTATACACAAGCAGAATAACAACAAGTAAACTAATGTCCAAAGGTCTCAAGGTTTCTAAGTATCAAGACTTCTAATCCTAATTCCAAGAGGTCCACAACTCCAATATGCCAAGGATAGTAACTAATAGTCTATAAAGATCCTTAAGTATTTTAATGTTCAAGTTGGTTATTAAGTGTCTTCAAAAGAAAAATAAAAGCTCAAATGAGTAAAGAAGAAATAAAACAAAAATAAATGCTCAAGTGAGCAAAAGGAAAATAGAATGAGATGTAAATTCTATAGATAAAAGGTACATAAAAGTAAAGAGATAAAATAAATGCATAAAGTTAAGACATAAAGTAAAGTTAATTCTTAATGAGTTAGTAGTTATAAGTTAATCGTTAATGGTCAAATGCATGATCAATGATGATTGAATTATGATCTTAGACCAAGAATAATGAAAACTCATTAGAAGATTGATAAAATCAAAGTCTCCTAACAACAAGTTTCAAAGATTTTGAACCATAGTCCAATTATCAATCATGCTTGGACATTCAAACATAATGTTTGAGCCACTAATGATCACTTAGAAGGAGAAATAAAGAGATGAGGATTAAGGGGAATGTCACAGTGGAACCAATGCCTTAGATGAACAAAAATAAGGGTTTAAACTATCATCAACATCATTCATCCATTTTATAGATTTGGTTTTTCAACCTGAACAAAGTTCACTTTATAAGCTTCTGAAACTGAACTTCTTTAGCTTGATTGTATGCTTAAATTGCTTGGATTTTGTTGTGAAAAGTTTGTATGATAATCAAGGATGAAGAATAAATAGAGAGTTTTGAGAACGAACGCTTGAAATAATGAAATTTATTTTCAAATTTCAAGCTTCGAGTGTGACTTTGACAGGGTGTGATTCTGGCTATCCAAGCTTTAATAAATGGATGAAATATGATCGTCTATTTATAGGGAAATGATTCATGAGCTCGTACGTGCAAAAAGGATCGAGAATGAGTGAATTCATGTGAAGCTCGAAGGTGAGAAACGTGTGACTTGTGATTCATAAAAACTCACTTAATTCTTGTGTTTCAAGGCTTAATCAGGTCGAGGCAAGTTTGTTAAACATGTTTAGATATAACACTAATCAAAATGCAATCTGACTTGGTGAGAAGTTTCAGTTTCAAGTTGCCATCTTTAAATCCACTGAGCAACTTGCTCAAGAGGCTTTATGGTCTCATTCTTGTCTCATTTGAAAGATATCACCACAAGGTTTAGAACGTGCCAAGAAAGTTTCCATTGGGACATTTGATCTGAAAGTTGTGTCTCTTTGAAGTAAAAAAAATCAACTATTTTTGACACTTAGAAAAATCTCAAAGTATGGAGCTTCAAGATGTCTTATAATGTTCCTCAAACTTACATGAAATTCCACTCAAAATTAGCTCGTGATCAATGAAGATGAAATGAATAGACTTCTCAAATGGAATTAGGGAATTGGACTCACTCAAAAATCATGAAAAATGAGATAGTTATGATTCTTGGAAGCTCGTGAATTTTTTTTGAGAAATCCACAAATGACCTATAATGTTTTCATCTATTCCATAACTTTCCAAGCATTTTTTGATCTTTCTCCTTTAATCAGAGTTGTAGTAGACATCCTCAAGTTTGTTGTGAAAAAACAATGAGCTCAAGGAGATGAAAACTGATCAAGTTAGGATTCTTTGAAGTCAAGTCAAAGATTTTAATGGTTTTCTCAAACGACTTGTAATCTTTTCAAACTTTTGATGATTCTCCTTGCACAATTAGATCCTGTCCTGTAAAGATAAGTTATTGTAAATGATTAGAAAAGCCCATATAAAAAAGAACCACTTAAAAATATTGAAATTGAGAGAGTTATAGACATGAGACCATAGAATCAAGGACTTATTCAAATTAGATCAAACTACTTGAGTCAACTTTGCATCTTTTGAATCACATTAGAACTTGAAATGGTGTTTGCTTGAAGCACAATTAATGAGAATACTCATTGATTGATGAAACTTATCGGAGAAGTCATGGAAATAAACACTTGAACCTATGAAGTTTCTTGATGAATCAAACCACTAAATTTGAGACAAACTTGACCAGATGAGGTTGAGAGATTTCTAAAACCATAGCACTTTGATGTCATAAACATAGTATTGAAGTTCAAACTTTTAAAGCTCAATGAATAGCTAGTTAACTGAGGTTTAATCTTCAAAACCCTAGCTTGGAAGGTAAGAGAGATGCACTTGGATCTATACCTATAATGTACATAGCAAACAACAAAATACATACATCTTTTTGGATTTTTAATCAAGGGTTAATAAACATAAAGTACACATGCATAATACACAACATCAAGGTGTTTGGTGATCCCCCAAGGGAAAACTTAAATATAAGTGAGAGTAGCAGAGGTGACCAACCCAAGTGTGTGATCTTAATGTGATGTCATGAAATGATTAAGGATTTTAGGGGAATAAATTAGGGTATAACACCTATAAAAAGAAAGACTCTAAAATTAAGCAAAGGGTGATGCATGTGAAATAAAATATTAGGGTTTAGTTTGTTTATTGTTATTTGTGAGCCTCTCATGTATCACTTTGATATTGATATGGACTGTGTTTTGAGTTGTAATTTGTAAAGCACTCATAAAATGTCAAGCAGTAGTGTGTTATTTTTAATTAGAAGTATATCTTATATTGTTCTTTGTTTTCATTGTGATTTTCAGTGTTGTGTGACTGAGGGGAAGTGAGAGGTGTCTCATATCTAGGAGTTCCTAGGTAGAAATTGCATGGGTGGTGATTAGGTGAGAAATTTGTAAAACATGGGTTGTTCAGAACTTCAAACTAATACTATTATAGTGAATTTCCTTTATGGATTGGATGCCCCCATATGTAGGCAACGTTGCACCGAACTGGGTTAACAATTGATATGCGTTATTTTCTTCCCGTTGATTTCTTTAAATTATTTAGTGTTCTGTCTGTTATTATGATGTCTTGACATTGTACTCGACATTGCATTTTTACATTCTGGTGTTGTGACATCGTATTTGACATTTGTCTTGTTGTGCTAGAATTTCAATTTTTTTGAACTTACAAAAATACCTCGAAGCTTAACATCTTCTATAACATCTAGAAGATGCCTTGAAAATGTCTTATATTTTGGTCAATATTGTGAAGACTGCGTCCATCTTTAATTATTTGTCATGGAATGAAACATTATTTATCAATTTTAGAGGTATTATAATGAAATTTAGATACTTGTACATTATTTCCCTCATAACTTTAATCGATAATGCTTTTTTCTTGTGCTTGAGTAAGTGTGTTTATTTTTAACTATATTTTCTTAGTTATCTAAAGAAGCTA